GTGAGTCAATTAGATCGTGGACAAAAACGGAACCCATTTCCCTTTAATTATCTTTGTAATAGGTGAGTTAGCCTTCTTGTTACTTTATGTTTTATATACCATTTTGTAGCTCGTGAAATTCTCTATCGAATGGTGTATAATAGTTGGGGTTTTATTTGACTATAATAGGAAAAGTTTTTTACGAAAGCGGGGATAGGTCGATTCTCGCATCGGAAGGCATAGGGAGAAATGACTGTTTTTCCAATAACTCAGCAACGGCACGGCCAATCATTCTCATCTTCGAACTCGATCGAGATATTGTTGAGATTAAAGTGTGTAGAAAATATCATCGCAATCGGACTCTCCTTTCAAAAGTTATCGTGTAAACGGCCGGCCGGACATACTGACCGATTCTAGAGTGTACTCACTTTTTGAGTACACAAAAAGTACGCGTAAAAACGCGTGAACTTCGAGTTATTAACGCATAAAAACGGGGAAAAAATCTACATATTTTAACGCTTGAATATTGTAACGCATTAAAACGCGTTCAAAAATCGTAAAAACGCCGTATTTACGATAGGTTATCGTTAAAACGCCGTTTTAACGAAATTTTTACGCGTTTTAACGCGTTTTTTCAAGAGGCTTGTCTGACTGGGTAGACTCTTCTCTTTTATACTATGATATAAAACAAATAAGAATATTTATTTATCTACAATTAAATAAATACATAAGAACTATTTTTATATTTCGACCAATTTTATTTAACTTAATTGAATATATTATTATTATTATTATTTTTAAAGACAACATCATATTGACATATAATAATATAAAATTTATTCATTTATTCAAATATTTTTTTTTTCTCTCGTATTATATAATTATATGAAATAAATAAATATTTAGTAAAATAGTTGTTAGTTGACCTATTCAAATAAACAATTAATTAACATATTAAATAAATTAATAAAATAATAATATTATTTATAAAATTTGTTAAATCTAATTGAATTGAAATCATATGAATCATATTGAATTTTTTTTTTTTGTTTTAAATAAATAAATTCTAGGTACAAATAATACAGTACGAACGACTCGAATTCGAACTGAAGATAGTAAATTTTTAACAACTATTTCAACAATATCAAAAATAAATAATTCGAATGAGAATCAAGATAATATTCTTATTAATAGAAATGAAAAAAATCTTTTTTTTGGTCAATCAACAAATAATTCTATTAAACGAACACTTTCCGATGACTCAAATTGAAATTGTATAACAAGTTTAACAAAAAAAGTTTTACAAATTGAAAAAGATCGACAAAAAATTGAAGAATATTAACTTTTTCTTTTTTCTTTCTTGTTTTTTTTTTTTGTTTTTCTTTGTTTAATTCATTTATATTATATCAATAAATATCATTTAAAACAATAAATCATTATTATGATTACAATTTAATTTACTTTAACATATTCATTCAACTATTTACATTAGTTTCTCATAAAATGGTGCGGGTGTGTGTGTGTGGGTTATGGTGGTTGGTGTGCGTTTAGCGGTATCCACACCTACACTCAACTCATGTTGATAAAATTCAAATTGCTGCACTTGTTATCGATGTTAATGAATATGAAGATCTATGTACATGTGGAAATGTGAATGCTCTTATATTTACACATATCTTAACAATGTTCTCCAACTTAAAATACTTCCATTTCGGTCTATTGTCCAGTTGGTGTCAACGATTATCATTTGACATTCCATCTCCAACTATATTCTCTTCAACTTTGTTAGAATAGCATGTATTTCTGGTATGTTTGACCGATTGTCTTTATTTACTTGATGGACGTTACAGTCAATTTCATACACTTCATGTTAATACTTCAAGAATTATGTCTTCACATCTAATAATTAGTAATAAGGTGGATTATTTTCATTAAGATTTTATTTATTCAAATGAATTCATTATATTGTTTTTCTAGGAAAAACTATCAAATTTAAGATGTTTCTTCCTGCATTATAATTCTAGTATAAATTTATATAATGAATTAATTGTACCACTTCTGCAGCGAATATTGATTTTAGAAGAGCTAAATCTATATTTTTTAGTCTGTGATAAACAAACATTCGTTGATGGTAAGGATTTGAAGAAAAATATTATCAATTATATGTCTCAATTAAAGAAATTTTCGTTTAACATTCGTTCAACTATTTATCTTAATAATCAAATTAATTTCCA